ATTATTTCCGCAAGGATTTATCCGTCCCTCTCCTGGGGAATCCGGATAACAAGGGCCGCGTACGAAGACGAGGACCGAACTTCGAAGAAGATCGGTCGAAGCACGAGGTATGAAGCGATGAGCGAAGTAAAAACCGAAGATTACACACCGCCCCTGGTCGAGCAGGCGCGTTACAATTGGCGAAGCGGTTCCATAACATGTGGTTCTAGTGTTGGCCCTCGCGGAGGAATGTCTTAAAAATGATAATCCAAACTCAATTAATCTGCAAGCTTCGAAGTTTGAATCGAAGTTTAAGTCTGAAAAGTCAAGATTTTGGACTTGCTGAAAGTCTCTTTTGATATCCCGAAAATAAGTATGACCTCGACTCAGCATCCCGAGAACACAACGATCGTCCATCGACCCACACGGCATGTTCATCGCTGTGAATTCGCTGGAACCCGGTCTTGCCAAGACCACTGGACTGGGGCTCGAAGGGTTTCTGTTCCGATGATTGCGTTAAACAACTGCATTAGCAACAACTTCACTGACACACCAATTCGAACAATTGGAGTTATGTAACGATGGCAAGGTTGCCGACCAAGAATACAGCTTATCGCATCGTTACAAAACGATGGCAAGGCTGTCGAGCTAAAGGATGTCTCACCATTCACGGGCAAGGCCGTTGAAGAAGACGTAGAGAAAAACATTTACTTGATGTAGTTAGTATAGTATACATTTTCGTAGTTAGTAGTTTAAGACGACAATCCCATCACTTTCCAATTCACTCTGTGAAGCTCGCTACCGCAACATTTGGTAGCACTTCCTGGTACAAGTTAGGCAGCAAGGACATAAACCGAGGGGTATAGCTCGAAGGTTGTAAGGTTACTCCATCTAGTTCAGGCAAAGGTTCAACGGCGACCTTTCGTAGGGACTAGTGTCGTGTTTCTTTTCCACGACAGTACTCTCCTTAGTATCCGATATCAGAGTCGGTAGGGGCAGAGTCGACCGTTAGGAAAGGGACATTTGGTGCGTGTGAAGAGTCACTGCCGACAAAAAAGTAAGCGACTGCAGCGAGTGAGAAAGTCAAGAGCGGAGCGAGCGGCAGCGGCAGTGGCGAACGAGAAGGTTATCCAGCGAGACCTACGCAGCGAGGACAGCGACTTAAGTAGTAACCGAATAAAGTACGCTCTCGACGAACTTACCAAGCAAGGTCCAAGCAATTTTGAGTCTGTCATCCGGACACGTAAGCGAAGCGATTGACGCGCATTTGTTGGCGAGGCCGAAGATCGAAGCAAAGAAACCGAAGGTCGACACTAAGGAAGCCTTAGTTGATTACCTAGCGAGCCTGTAATAAAACCTTTTTTCCAATCAAAATTTGCGAGGCTAGTTGGGACTATGGAGCACCACCAGCAGATGATCCAACAACTACTGGAGGCTCAAACCCAGGCACAAGTGCACAACAAGCGCAACA